TAAGAAAGCCGCCATAAAAAACCACCCTGATAAGGGTGGAGATCCTGAGAAAGTAAGTGCCCACCTTTCCCCTTTGTTTAGATTTCTCGATTTGGTTTCCGTATTGGGATTTGGGGAATTGGGTGATTGTGGATTCTGATGGTTCTGCTTTTATCGTGCTTGTAATTCTGTCAAGCCCTTACCTTTTTGTTGAATTTGATTGGATATGGTATTTTTCATAAATTGTTGAGTGAATGAATTCATGGGTTGACTTGGAAATTGGGTTTTTTTATTTTGGTTTTGGTTTAGGTATTTGGAAATTGGTTTTTTTTTTTATTTATTTTGGTTTTGGTTTAGGTATTTGTCGATAGAATTTCAGATTTGTGATAATGGGTTGCGGATTTTTTTGGTTGATTTGGATCTGTAGGTGTAGGGCTAATGGTATTTTCATGTATTATGCGTAGTTTAAAGAGTTGGCTCACGCTTATGAGATTTTGAGTGACCCTGAGAAGCGTGAAATCTACGATCAGTATGGTGAGGATGCACTCAAGGAGGGAATGGGGGGTGGAGGTGGTGGCGGCCACGACCCATTCGACATCTTCTCATCTTTCTTTGGTGGAAGCCCATTTGGAGGTGCGAATTGTGTGATTGGTTTTCATGGTTTTCAGGTGGGGTTTCTTGTTGTGTGATGAACAATGGCATGAATCGATTTTGTACTTGTTTGTATGAGCAGGTGGTGGTAGTAGCCGAGGACGAAGACAGAGACGTGGAGAAGATGTTGTCCACGCACTCAAGGTTTCTTTGGAGGACCTCTATCTTGGGACCTCGAAGAAGCTATCTTTATCGCGTAATGTGCTTTGCTCCAAGTGTAATGGGTGAGTAGTAGTGGTAAAATTTTGTTTTTAAGCTTAATGCTAGGATAAAGTATAGAACTTGGAGGTTTGTAATATGATGCTCACATGGGATGTGAATATGTTGTTTCAAAATTGAAGGAAGGGTTCGAAATCTGGGGCTTCATTGAAGTGTTCTGGCTGTCAAGGAACTGGTATGAAGGTCTCAATTAGGCACCTGGGCCCGTCTATGATTCAACAGATGCAGCATGCTTGCAATGAGTGTAAGGGTACTGGAGAGACCATTAGTGACCGAGACCGCTGTACTCAGTGCAAGGGGGAGAAGGTTGTTCAAGAGAAGAAGGTGTTGGAAGTCCATGTGGAGAAAGGCATGCAGAATGGACAGAAGATCACATTCCCTGGTGAAGCAGATGAAGCTGTATGTTACGTATCCTCATTAATTGTGACTTGGTGTTATTAGTAGTAGCAGTTATAGTTTTAATTCTGTATTTGGAAATGTGGGATTGATTGGTTTGCTGTGTCTACTGTGTCATTGCAGCCTGAGACAGTCACTGGTGATATAGTGTTTGTCATTCAGCAAAAAGAACATCCAAAGTTCAAGAGAAAGGGTGAGGACCTTTTCGTCGAGCACACTCTGCCTCTAACTGAGGCTCTATGTGGCTTCCAGTTTGTGTTGACCCATTTGGATGGCAGGCAGCTGCTTATAAAATCAAACCCTGGTGAAGTTGTCAAGCCTGGTAAGTAAAGCTAATAAATAAACTAAGAGAATTTAATGTATTGGCTAGTGAATCCTCGGAATGTTATAATCCTGTGATTTATTTTGATAATGCAGATTCGTTCAAGGCGATCAATGACGAGGGTATGCCCATGTATCAGAGGCCATTCATGAAGGGGAAGCTGTACATTCACTTCAATGTGGAATTCCCAGAGTCTCTCAACCCTGAGCAAGTCAAGGCCTTGGAAGCTGCTCTTCCAGGCAAGCCATCAGCATCTCAGCTCACGGATATGGAGGTGGACGAGTGTGAGGAGACGACTCTGCACGATGTGAACATGGAGGAGGAGATGAGGAGGAAGCAGCTGCAGGCTCAGCAAGAGGCCTATGATGAGGACGATGACATGCCTGGTGGTGCTCAGAGGGTGCAGTGCGCCCAGCAGTGATGACTGATGCTAGTTTTTGGAAACTTGTACAAGTTTTCGGGTGCTTGCTGAAGTGTTAACAACGGATGACAAGGTGGGGGGATGAAAGGAGGGGAGGGATTGACTGTGATGATAGCATGGCGGTCTAGAATTTTGAAACACTTATTATAATTAAATGTTATGTGATGATTTTGAACATCCTGTTATTCTTCCTCTATCTTTTTATAAATGACCATCATTCTTACTACTCTTTTTATGGCCGTCAGTCTGACAGTTTAATTTCCATTTAGTGTGTTAAAAATATGAGGCGTTGGAGAGTTAAACTGCATGTTTTAACCACATTATGTACTGTTCTAAAAATCCTCGCCTAGTGCCGTCTAAGCCTTGTCTAGGAGCTAAACGGTTGATCAACGTTCTGATTAATGTTTAGGTGTTTGAAAATTAAGAAATGACGTCTAGATCTGCTGAGATATTATTTAGGCATTAGGCTAGATCGTCTAGGCACCCGTCTAGCTTGCCTAGACCTGCTTAGGTTGCGACTTATATAAACAGAAAATAGATAAATTTTAAGTGCTTAGGCGGGTCTCAACCTTACTTAGACAAAAAATAGATAACTTTCATTTGTATTTTATTTATTTTCAATAAATTGTAAGATATTTGTTGAATACTTAAATGAACGTACATTATATCATTCTCTCTATATTTTCATTATGTTTTAATACTTTATAATATATATATATGTCATTCTATTTTGTAGTTTACGATGAAATTATATATATTTTAAGTATAAACAAACACTTATTTACACAAAATATAATAGATTTACTTAAATCCGCCTAGTTCGTCTAGGCGCCCGCCTAGCCGCCTATGTGCTAGGTTATAGCCCACCATCCGATTAGTGCCTAGCGTCTATCGTCTTTTAGAACCTTACATATATGTCCTGCATTTGTACGACAGTTGATATATCTATTATATACAAAGAGAACACAAAATGTGAACAGTATTTTGGTGTCAAAATGCTTTACCAAAAAAAATATATTATATATAAAGAGAACACAAAAGTTCACAAAAGTTGAATACTATTTTGATGCCATAATGCTTTACCAAAAATAAATGGACAAAAATACCCCCAAAACAAAAAACTTCAAAGGCGTTCCAAAATAATGCAACAAATAAGGCAAGGGCATTTTCGTCATTTTAATAGTATTTTTTTTTAATAATTAATGATTCTGAGGTTTTTTTTTTTGTTTTTTTTAATTAGTACCTCACAATAGGCTAGCAATAATGTGATTCAATTTATCTACTTTTAAACGCGTTCAAAACATCTTAAGAAACGTGTAATGTCAGTTATAAATTCGCATGCAGATAATAATGATTTAATTAAATTAGTTGTCAAATGATTGTTTTTCTTTTTTGTAACAAACAATATTATATATACTAAGAGGAAAGAAGGTGGGCTTAGTCTCATAATGGGCTAGCAATAATGTGATTCAATTAGTTGTTTATTAAATATTATTCTCTATTTTAAACACGTTCAAAATATCTTAAGAGACCTGTAATGTTGGTTATTAAAAAGTCTTTCGCACGCGGATAATAATGTGATTAAATTAGTTATCAAATGATTTTTTTTTTAACAAACGATATTATCTACATTAAAGGGGAGGAGTGGGCTTTGCCTCACAATAGGCTAACAATAATGTGATTCAATTAATTGTTTATTAAATATTATTTTCTCTATTCTTAATGTAAATTCTATAGAGACTGATTTTATTATGTGAATTCAGCTGCTTTAATTGGTTTATGAGGGGTTTCTTCTAACATGATCTAAGATTATTCATTTACTTCAAATATTTGACTTTTCTTCTAACATGATTTAAAACGTGTAAGTTGCGTGTAGCATGTCATGATTCAAAAAATGCCTTCTACACGCGCGTGAGCCTGTCCATGAAGGCTAGTTTGGGAATACTGCAGCATGTCTTAATCAGATATGTGTCCTGCATGTCTTAACTTCCTGGTTTCTTATAGAATTCTACCTACAACCTTTATGCATGTCTTAAAGTTGAGCAATAATTGCTACAATGTTCTCATTTGGTTTTTCATATTTACCCATTGATTTAGCCTTATGTGTGTGGCAAGTGACTCATTTTGACAAAAGTTTTAACAAAGTTAATGAAAAGGATTATGACTGCACGTTTTGATGTGTTAAGGGACAAATGATCACAGATTTTTAGATGAGGAATCATTCCTCCAATTGGATTAAAGTTTCAAGGTTCATTGCTACAATTTTCTCTAATATCAATGGTGCATAATACATGAACGTGGATTTAATGTTTTAATCTTAACATTTGACATCAAATCTTAAAATGAGTGATCATAAACAAGAGAGCGAGACTTAGACTTGAATAGAAGACATTTTGAGAAGCATGCCTACCCTTTGCACAAGGTTCTAAAAGACGCTAGGTGCTAGTCGGGAAGCGGGTTGCAGCTTAGCGCCTAGGAGGACACCTAGGGAACTAGACAAATTTAAGTAAATTTATTACATTTCGTATAAATAAGTGTCTGTTTATACTTAAAATATATATAATTTCATCATAAATTACAAAATAAAATGACATATGTATTATGAAGTATTAGAACATAATGAAAACATGGGGAATAAGGATATAACATGTGTTCATTTAAGTATGCAACAAGTCTCTTATAATTTATTGAAAAAAAATATAATGCAAAATGAAAGTTATCTATTTTCTATCTAAGTGAGTCACAACCTATGTGAGTCTGGACGGGCTAAGAGGGTGCCTAGGCGGTGTAGGCGGGGGCCTCAGCACATCTAGGCATCTTTTCTTAATTTTCAAACACCTAGGCATTAATCGGAATGGTGACCAACCGCGTAGCGCTTAGGCGGGGCATAGACGGTGCTAGGCAGAGATTTTTAGAACAGTGCCCTTTCATGTAGTGGAATTATTTATTAATTTATTTATATATTTCAAAATAAATTAGATAGTCGTTCATCCACAAGGCAGAAAGCAGAAATATCAAACCTGGAGAGTACGAACTCTCCACGAAACAATCAAATATTGGTTTCATAAAATATGAAAATTTTCGTATGAAATGATAATAAATTCAGTACAAAAACTAGTCTCGTGGAATTTCGATCTTTTTACGGAGATACCGAAGAATTTGCTGCATAGAAGCCTTTGGCTTATCCCCACATCTAACACATAACTTTGCCACAGCTAGAAGACTTTTGAGCTCCCTAGAATCGTAACTGCTGCCTAGATCAGGATCTAGCATTTTGTGAATAGAACTGCAGAAGCGAGACTCTCGGATCCATTGAACTAGATCTGCTCCCCCGTTTTCTGATGATTGACCGGTGATGAGCTCCAGGATCAGCACCCCAAGCTGGAACATTATGTTACCGCATTCCTGACCCATGCAATCTGCATGAAAGGGGAAGAATATGAGGACTGCAGCAAGTATTTTTGAGGGTTAGGGTCAAGAGAATCAACCTTTCGGGCACGAGGTATGTGGTACTGTGACATAACTTTCACCAGAACTTTGAAGCCCGACGTCTGAAAGCTGTGATCAGAAAAACAAAGATCATATGAAGTTTGACAAAGTCGACAGCAGTAGCCTTCTTACACCTAGTAGATCCGAATCCAACGGAGTCCTCACCTTTGCATTAAAGTTTTCATCTAGCATGATGCTACTTGAGTTAATGGAGACGTGATACATTGGAGGTTCATTGAAGAGAAGCAAGTACTCCTGCATTGAAATTCTAGAACGCTGTAAGCTAAACTCCTCTGGCTGGCAATGCACATAGAGGAACTTCCAACACGTAAATATATGAGTAATTCAGGTACTTTATCGACACAAAAGAACCATAGAACTTTACAAATTTCTTGGATTGGTTGAGATATAAGAACAGCAGTGGATTAGTATCCTGCTTTAAAGTGGAAAACGATACTGCTACAATCTTATGGTGACTTGATGCATGAAATCAAATTATGCAGTAAATGTTTGTGGCGTTAAGATGTAAAATACCAATGCAGCCACGACACCAATGGCTATTTGTAGCCGTGTCCTCCAATTCAAGGGAGTTCTAATGGGATCTGCCAACAATAAAGAGAGAATCAAATTTTGCACAGATGCACACATACACAAAATTCTGCTTGGAATGTTACCATTAAGATGCTCCTTCAAGCTCCCCCTTTCTATGTTGTCAAACACTAGGAACCTGAGAAAACAAACGATAGATACGTCAAATAAAAAAATTGAGAGCAACAGATAATTTCGACAACGGCAAAGGTACCGAATGGTCGTATGACTAGTTCTATTGTCAATCCAGAAAAACGATCTTGAACGAATGTCAATGTATTTCCTTAAAGGTTTATCTTCCACTTTCACGTTAAATATAGAATTCAGGAAATTAACAAGACCTTGAAAAACCACAGCAAACAGTTCAAGAAAAGGACCAATACACAAAGCACCCAGTGGGGGGTGGGTGGGTGGAGGAATGGCAAAAAACCTTGAGCTCACTCAAAAGAAACCAACACTTTAACATCCCTGGAAAATGCACATCGGAAAGGGTAATTAATTTCATTTTGCAAAACGGCCTCTTTCCCAGCCTCTAAACTTACTGCAGCATATATCCTAGGCAAAAACAAAATCATATAGTTTCCTCCATTCTCAAATGGTAGCCATTTATAAGGGTGCGTTGGTGGAAATTAATGAAAGAAAGCGACAGAATGAAACGAGTTGAGCATCAGACCGTCTATGTCCAGTAGAGAATCCCCTGAGAGCAAGAAGGTGACGATGATGCAAGCACCCCAAGAGTTGCACTTCTCTGTAGAAGACATCTTTTCCTTGATCATAGTCTCTAATTTCTTTTATCAATACAACTCCACCATCATGAAATCTGGCCTTATAAGCAGCTATATGAGAATTGGTATACATGATCGTCTCAAAACCATCCGTTGCTCTCTTTATATCCTTGTAAGGAAAACGCTTCATAAATAATATTTGGCCTGAAAATAAGAACATATAAGAGAGGTCTGATAAAAATTTATTTAACTACGCGTAATTGGAACACAAATTGAATTCAGTTTCCTTTTTCAATTCACTAAGATATCCAGGTTATATTAGGAGTCAAAATCCAAGCCATTGCCTCATAATAATTAGTCTGAACTTTGAAGAGTTACAAGTGAAGAGAAACTAGAAATACATTGTAACTAAGGGGAATTGGTGCAGAGTGAGGTGATCGAAGATAAACTGTGCAGGCCCAATCTTGAGAGAGAGAAATTAAGGGAAACACAGACCCTATCCAAATTACCTCTATTTAATCCGAAACTCAGTGAATCGTATAGTATTAAAGGACATGTTTCTTAATCCATAATCAGTCGCTTTAAAAGTTTCCCAAAACTCAGTCTTTGTTCATCAAATGTAACAATAGAAGTTACATGAGGATCAACCGAAATTTACTTCAGTAAGAATACTTCACTAAACATGAAGTTGCTCACATGCATAGCAGAGATGATTTCTGCATTAATGTTCAACAAGCTTTTCGACAGATATTTAACTTGGCTAATTAGTACATACAAAAGCAAAAAGAAGCCTCTGAAGACAGGTTTAGCTCAATCAAAGAGCCAAGTTAAACTTTTCACAATTTTTACAGACCGTAATGAAACAAAAACGTATGGGGCAACGGAGACTAAATTTGCAGACAAAATTTGCAAACTAAATGTTGTGTCACCAATAAGAATGAACCCGTTTATCAATGTTTAAGTCATAATCCAATCATTAACTTCCATTTCATTTAGTTTGAAAAATTTAGCCTACAAATTTAGTCCCTGTAGCATTACTCAAAACGTAAAAGTCTGCTTCAGTATATCACATTCAAACCAAGAAAATATAACAAGCCAAATTGCTTAAAAAATCCTTCCTTAATTGGCCAGTTTTAAGAGCAAATCCTCAGATTCTAACACAGTGGACCTACAAAATTAATAGAATCTACGAAACGAACAAATTCCTCAAAATCTCAATATTCAGATAGAAATCTGGGACACAACAGTCCTGAAGACCAAAACAGAGTAACAGCTAACAGCTCCAAGACAGTTCAACCAACATCATCAAAACCAAAACAAACCAACGTCGAATTGAGCAAATTAAACTCCGAATTCCGACAAACTACATAAATCCGACGACATTAAACGGATAAGAAAATCCCACACTGTTTACAAGCCCAACAAAAATTCATGGTGAAGAGAGTAACAATTACTTGAAAACAAATGAGTAGAAGGTAAAAATTTGAAGTACCCGACCGAGATCGGCGGAGCCACGAGAGGAGGCGAGGCCGGAGTTTGCGAATCAGGCGGTGCATTTGGGTGAATTGGAAAATGGGATCCAAGAGGTAGGTGAAGTGGAAGAACAGAGGCTGAGGCGCTGTAAATTTCCATTTCGTCTTTATACTAAGAGAAAAAGGTTGAGGGATGGATTCGCCCTTTACCTTTTTGGTTGGGTGCTTAGTGAGAGAGAAGATTAGGAAAGAGGGTAAAATATTCAAAGCCCCAGATTAGTTAATAATTGAATAGAATGACACATGTGACAGTTGAAGTTAAAAGACTCAAGGGGTGATTGACCACACTGTTTTGGCAGTGTACCTGTACAGATCCAAGATTTAGTATATTCCCATATCCCCCTCTAGCGTCACTTGGACAATGTGCTGGGTCGGACGTGCTTCTAAATTGATTAAAATCATTTTTTGTGAAATTATTTTTGAAACTAATTCTTAGTAAGAATTTAAGTGGATAAGTGATTCATGCAATAAGTATATATCTTATGCTTATTTCAAAAATAACATTTAAACTGCTTTTAGAACCCAAAATCAGTTTCACGAAAAACGATTTTAGTTATTTTTAAAGTACTTCTAAACGAGTCTATGATCAGGCATAATGAGTTATTACATTGCTATGAGTGCGACTAATGTCATAGATATTATCAAAGCAAAAATGATGCCCATAATCCTAAATTCTTCACGATAACCAAAAAAAGGTTTTGACACACCCCGACCTGAAATATCCACCTAGACTTTGAATCGAGCTGTGCTGGTCGCCACTCGGAAGGTGACGAAGTTATAAATTGTAGTGAGGTGGAAAAATTGTGAATAAATTTAAACCTTAAAGTATCTAAATTCAAGAGTGTGCATGTGAGTGGGAATGAACCTATTTCATAAGTGCATAAGTAAAAAATTTGAATTCAACTATGACACATGACTCTTATTTTTCATTCATACAAAAATTAAATATTATAATATTAATTATAATATATAATTTTCAGCAATCCCCCACATGAATGAAAAATTAAGAAGAATTTGAGAGAGGTGTCTTTTAGACATGAACCTACCCTACTGAATACTTAGGGCTGGTTCGGTATGGGATACCGAACCGAAAACTGCATATCAAGTCTTAAACTGTTTATTTTCGGGACGAAAATCTGAGGACCGATCCCAAACCAATATTTCGGTATTCCCGAGGTTCGGGATTCCCGAAATATTTTCGGTATTTTGGGATTTTCCAAAACCAAACCGAACCTGCATCAAAATTTAAAACTCCAATTTAAAATCAGAGATTCATGGACCTCCCACTCCCCTGCAAGCCCACACGGCCACACCTCGTCCCAGATTTGTCGACCTCCCCACCCCCATTTCCATCCCTCTCGTTCCTGGGTTTGTCCTTGCTGTCTTCGGCAGTCGGAGAGCTATGCGACGTTCATCGAACATAATCAAGTACCCATCCCCGTCGATGTGTGAGCTTTTCCATGTTTTGCCGAACGAAATCGCCATCGGAGGGCTACTCTGCTTTGCAGCGATGACGCCGCTTCGTAGAATTCTGATGCCATGACATCGATGTGTGAGCTTTCTGGATCTGAAACAAGAAAAAAGAAGAAAGATAAGCTACAATCCTAAATTCGTGAAGCTTTCTGGATCTGAAACAAGATAAAAAAAGAAAGAGAAGCTATAGAGTAACACTCAGTTTTTTTTTTAAGATTGAGAAAGGATTAGGAAGCCTTGGGCTGTGCATTTGAGGGAGTCGGTGGAGGGAGAGAAGAGATAATGAATGGTCGGTGAAGAATGGCAAACAGTGATGCTATATCAATAAATAAAAAAAGAAAGGTAATGAATGGTAGGTGAAGATGGCAGAAAGGAGAATAAAAAAATAAAAAAGTGAAGAAGATAGCTATTGCTAGAGCCTAGAGGAATGGACCGAAAGCCAAAAACCCTCTAAACCAACAAAAGGTTTCAGGATTTCGGGAATACCAAAAAAATAAGATTTGAAAAACCAATCCCATACCGAATACTTCGGTATTTTTCGGGACGGGATTACCGAACTTCGGGATGGTTTTGGTTTGGGATTTTTCGGTTTGGGTTCGGGATTTTTTCGGTTTGGTTTGGGAATTTTGGGAATTTTTTCCAGCCCTATGAATACTTATTAGATTTACTTGGTGACATAGTGGATATGGAATCTTGAACTGTTCACCTCATCAGTAAATTTAGCCATCTCATACTCATAGAAGCGACCCACTTCTACTCTCACATAGGTGACCACTGATTAAGAATACTCTGCAATATTCCTCTTATTTATAAGATATAACTGTCATTAAGTATAAATATACATTCTAAAACTTCTGCAGACAACACACTTCTTCCAACATAGGAATGAGGGATATAGTGTGTTAATTTCTTAGAATCATGCCCAACCAGTTTGCTTATTGAACTTAGACCATGGGATCTCCAACCATCTAAGTTAGGTTTCTGCTCAGCTGATTCATTAGTTATGTTGGCTTTAGCCTCATTCCCCTCGATGATAAACTTACTCTCTAGTCTAACCTTTAATAATTGGATCCACCACTAGGTTGACTATCATTAAAGGTGTGCACAATCCATCTTATGAAATTATATTTCATACGTGAGTAGTTGTTTGACATTGTTTGAAATGTCAAGTCCTCAAAATTATATTAGGATTTAATTACTAACTAATTTGCTAACACTAAGCACTTGGGTAAACTCCCCCACATTTAAGGTATTTTTAAGAAGGTCTCTAACGTTGCCATACCTTAAACAATTACCCATTACAAGAGATGACATCTTAAAAGTCGTTCAATTAGCAAATTACTTTTAACCAACCCCCACAATTTTTTCATAATTGTAGTTTCTTTTAATGCTATCATTAAATCGATCACATTTTCCACTTTAAGAAGTAAGGAACAACTCTCTCTCTCTCTTTCTCTCTCTCTCTCTCTCTCGCTTTAGGCATTCACACCTCACTAGAATCCCCGCCAAGGAATGTCAACTCCCTTTGAATATAGGCCTTAATTTGCCTATACCATTGTAAGAGCTATAATTTTTTTTTCTCTCTTTCTAGAAGCATTTTTTTTTTCTTTTTTCAGACTTCTTAAGTTGACATATAATCTCAAGGATAGCTAAGTCACTCCCCCACATTTCACACGCATTGTGGTTGCTTTAATGTTATTAGTAACTCTTTCATCATACATCATACTTGAGAAGAAAGCCAATGAAAATAGACTTTCTATATCATATCTATCTTCACCTGTTAGGGCTCTGTCTTGATAACTTTCAAAGTTTTCATTGTTAAAGACTCATCTATAGAGTGCTTTAAGTCTTTCAAATAGACCTTGCCCCCCACAGTCCAATCGTCATCTTCCAGAGTTGAATAACTCATGCAAAATGAGTTTAACATGCATATTTGTTACAGTATAATAATGAGTTCTGACTACACCAAAAGGTGTGTGTCCAGTTCTCCTAGGATTATATACCATTTCATTTGAATACAACTCATTCCAACGGATCATGTTTGAGAATGTATTCTATCAATTAGAAATGCAAGTTGTTGTGTGAAGTAAATTTTCTTGTGAACACTAAAAACATATTTCACATGAAATCACAAAGAGGCAAAATTAGTTGTGACTCATGGTACAATTCATGTAATCCAACATATGTGTTTGGTTGTTTTACCAATTAACATATCTTTTCATTTTAAATGCAAAAGATACACCATTTACGCCTTTAGCATGAAGACGTGATTGCCAACTGCAAACTAATGCCATTCATAGACACCATTGATCTCTTTCGTTAGTCTGAAAAAGATCAAGTCATAACCACATCTCTGTAACTCAATATAGTTACTGACAAAATACCTATAAGTCATCATGCCTTTTCAACATTTTTGGAAAGATGGCATATGTTTAGTCTTTCATGCATTTGTTCGGATTTGAACAGTCATAGCCGTTCCCTTTTAGGCTTGGCTGGAAAGATGTAATTTCCAGCCTACCACATCCTTTCACCAATCAGTAACCAATTTGGGCAAACGTTGTGATTTATATTTAGATAATTAAACATATGCCTGATGACATACGGTTTGAATTGTCAAACCGTTCTACCACTTTGTTTTATTCCAGAAACCAATTTGCACAAAAGGTTTAACATGAAAATTGCAATCAATTGTTCGAAATACATTCCTTCAAATCTGTGTGCGCATTCTTTGGTAAATTAAAATTGCCAAATAATATAACATTTGCAATTGGTTTGTTAAACAAAGAGATAACTAAACAATTAATTGTCAGCATGCACCAAGATTAATATCATAATGATGAATCATGATTCATATATAAAAACGGAAATACCAATCTGTACTATGGTAAGAATACGATTCATTAGACAAGCAAATGCACCGCTTCGAATATGACAGATTAGTAGTAAACTTGTTATGATGCTGCATCTACTGATGCTGCATATGACTGATGCTGCATATGGAGTCTACTACCAAGGTGACCCCTAGGGTAAATCTCTAGGGTATGGCTCATTGTAATCTTTAAGGTAAGAGTATGTAAATCACCTTTCCCTTGATTTAAGGGAGGAGACTGATTGGGGTAATGTCTTTGTGTAAGGTTTAGATTAGGTAGGCAACACGCCTTCTTCTTTCTTGTCGGCTGCTTGCTGCAACCATCCTTCCTATCTCTTTTCTTTTCCCTCTCTCTTCTCATATATACCTGGTCTCACTCTTGTACAAACACATATGAAATATACATTGAAACTTTAAACTAGAAAATCTACATGGTATCAGAGCAGATTTTGTAACCTGGCTCTGGCCATTTTTTCTGCTGCATCTTTCCTTCAATCTTAAGCCATGGCTGAAGAAGATTCAGTAAACATGGAGGGTGACATCTCGCATACCTTTCCTTCTAATTTCTCAGATGTCGAGGTTAACACCAATCAACGTTTATGTTCAGTTCTCATGAATGAGTTTAATTATCTCCCTTGGTCTTGAGTTGTGTCTCTTGCCCTCGGAGGCAAAGGGATATTAGGGTTTGTAAATGGAAGTGTGGAAGCTCCAGACATCTCTTCCTTTACATATGGTACATGGCTTTGCAAGGATCAACTTGTCATGTCCTTGTTGTTCAACACTATGGAGAAACATGTTGCTGAGATTTTAGCTACTGCAATTCTTCATGTGAGCTTT